TTGAACCGCCAGCCTTCTGGTTAGCAGTCAAGTGCCTTAGGCACTATGCTACCAGGGCTCCTATATATATATATATATAGGAGCCTTAGGCACTATGCTACCAGGGCTCCTATATATATATATATCAACAATTAGGAGCTCTGGTGGCATAATGCCTAAGGCATTTGACTGCTAACTAGAAGGCTGGTGGTTAAACCCACCAGCTGCTTCTTGGAAGGAAGACTGGGCAATCTACTTCTGTAGAGATACTCTCTCAGAAACCCAAGGAGAGGTCACTATGAGTCAGGACCAACTCCACAGCAGTGAGTATACCAAGGATTATTAGTGGTTACCAGAGGTAGGAGGGAGAGGGAAAGGGGAAGCTTTTGTTTGCAGGGCATTGAGTTTATGCAAGTGGTCATGGAATATTTTAGAAGAGGATAGCAATAATGATGGTACAACATGAAAAATGTCATCAGTGTCCCTAAACTTAAATGGGGAAGTTGTTAGGTTGGCAAATGTCTTGTGTATGTTTTCACCACAATTAGGAAAAGAAAAAAAAAAATGAGTGAATGAGTGTGGACCACTGAGTTATCCTGGAGAGTGCTGGTGGTGCCATGGACTAAGGTGTTAGCAATGAGATTAGAGAAGTGACCAAATGCTTGTGAGGTTTAGAAGGTCAAATTCACAGAACTGATGATGACTTTGATAGAGAAGTGAGAGCAAGGCAGATGTTAAGCCTCACCTGTATTTCTGTCTTGAGTGCCAGTCATGAAATGGGGACACTGGGAAGGACTAGGTGTGAGGATTAAGGCCATGGTTTTGATTTTGGAAAGGTTGAGTTTGAAGTGCCTTTGCGATACCTGAGTGAGAATGTCAAAAGGCAATTGGATCTGGGGCAGCCATGAGGCTAGTTTCCTGCTCTTCTCTCTAATGACCTTTTTTTCTCATTTCCATAGGATTATCCGGACCAAAGTGCAGCAACCATTTAACCTCCCCATGGACAACTGCATGGCTACTAAGTCTCTGAGCCCAGGACACACACTAAGTGAGTGCTGACCACACTTGTGGGTATACACACATGTACCCATATATGTACTCACACATACCCAGAATCACACACCAATATGCCCACATATACACAACCATATACTCATAAACCTGGACGTAAGTTAAGCTATTCCATTGGTGCAAAGCCTTGCCTGGTTCCTAGGGAAGATTCACTTTAGAGCTATTTAGAAATATTTAGTAGTGGAAAAACTTCAGACAGCATTGATTCCAAGACTCTCTCCCCTCAATGGCCTCATTGGCAGAACATCCTCTGAGCCTCTCCAGGGGTCAATCCTCCACAAGTTGCTTGCTGCCTCATCCACAGGGGCAACTGGGGCTACTAGAGGTCACTTTACACCTATGGTCCTGACTCTCTCCCTCTCTTTTTCCCTTTCATCCCCTACAGTCCCCAGCTCAGCTGTAACACCCCCAGAGTCACCACAGTCAGATTCCCTGGGCTCTAACTATTCCATCAATGGACTCTTGGGAATTTCTAACCTTAGCAACGAAAGCAAGAGGAAAATGGATGACAGTGAGTACTGGGAAGACAGGGCACAGGTTGAGCTGTAGGAGGGCACCTGCTGAGGCTTTGATGGAAATAGAAGCCTCCTCTCGTGGCCCTAGACTTTGTTGTGGCTCTGTAACTGCAGCCCTGAGAGAGGCATGGCCTATCTCTAAGTCGGCCACAGTTCCTGGGGTCTGGGAGCCTGGCACATTCTGCTCCTCCACGCTGGCCTGACTGTGCGGAGCCTGGGAAGCAGGGGATGGGTAGATGGGTCCCACTGAAAGCTCTTTCCTGCCTGGGGCACCAGGTGACCAGGACAGCTGCCGGCTGAGCGTCGACTCCCAGAGCAGCAGCAGTGGGCCCCGCAAGCACCTTCGCACAGACACCTTCAGCCAGCACCACCTTGAGCCACTCGAGTGCCCATTTGATCGGCAGCACTACTCGGAGGCCTATGCCTCCCCCAGTCACACCAAAGGCGAGCAGGTAAGATGCCGGGCCTGTGGGGCAGAGCACAGGGGCTGAAGTCCCAGTGGGCACTATGAAAGTTCCAAAAGCAGCCTACAGTCCTATATCAAAGCCAGCCCAGAAGTTGCCTTGATGGGCTCAGGGCATGTGCTGCCTAAAGTCCAAAGCCTGATTATATGTTTTATTTCATCAGATGTCCTGATGCCTGCCTCTCTCTTCTCACAGTCCTCTTTCCTTCCTTCACCCAAGACCTTGGAGACTAGTCCATTCCTTGCAGGGAGGGCAGCACAACCTGATCATGTCATCTTCTTGCCTTCTGTGGTTCCCCCAGATTGCAGGGCCAGGTTCCAACCAGCTGTAAAGTAGTACACCCTTCCCACACAGCCTCAATCAGTGTTTCTGGCTCCACCTCCAGCTGTTCACTCCACACACCTCATGGTTCTGCATTACTCGTGCTCCTGAATATGCCAACTTTGTTCACACCTCTCTGCCCTTACCCACGGTGTGTACTCTTCTCCAAATGCCTTTCCTCCTACTTCTCTGCTTGGAAAAATACCACCAGGCCTTCATGACTCAGCTCAGGCCTCACATTTCCTGCTCCAGGAATCCTGCCCTGCCCCACAGACAGAATATGGCTCTCTCCTCACTGTGCTGCTGCATGTTTGACATACCCCTCCTAATCACTTTTTATGCATGGGGTATTGTAATAATCTGGACAGAGATGTAAAGAGACAGTGGGGTTCTTCAGGACAGGGCAGCATCTTAAATTTACTTTTTTTTAATCTCCAACATCTATTGTGCCCTAGTTATAATACACTTAGCCAAACCAGTAGCCATCAAGTCAATTCCAACTCTTGGCAACCTCGTGTGTATCAGAGTTTTGGTTACGGTTTTATAGCCATGACCTTTCAGCACAGATCACCAGGGCTTTCTTCTGAGGTACCTCAGGGTAGGTTCAAACCACCAACCTTTCAGATAGTAGTCAGTGCTTGACCATTTGCTCCACTCAGGGACTTCTTCAGTTATGATAGGTACTCAATAAAATTTTATTAAATGAATGAGCAAAAACATGAGTTATCTGGGACAATAAATTGCAGAGTTACAAGGGAATTTTTATTTCCAGTGCTCAGTACAGGTGGAATGGATGATAGTAAGTGGGTTGTGGTGAAAAGCTGACACAGATGTCAGAGGTCCCATCCTGAGCCCAACAGAAAGAAGATTCAAAAGTCAGACCTTCGAGTGCATGGGAGGGAAAGACACAGGGAGGAAGTGGGAAGAGAGCTATGACATTGTGGAGAATTGCAGTCAATGCCATGAAACTAAATGTGTATGAACTGCTATATGGAAAATGAATTTGCTCTGTAAAGTTTCATCCAAATCACAATAAAAATTTAAAAAAAAAAGAAAAGAAAAGAAAAGAAAAAGACTTTCTAGGACCATTGGGCTCTTAGTTTCTTCCTTCCCTTCACCCCACCAACTCAACCAGTTAAGGAGTTTCTTTAGGGTGGTTTCTGCTTACCACTCTGTGCTCACTTTCATTTGATCCTGGAGTGAGGCAGATCCATGTGTCTTTAAGATCTGAGTAGGACAATGGCAATAACACTAATAACCAGCTGAACCATTGCCAGTGACTGTCTGGACCTCTGGGCCCATGCCAGCACCTGCAGTTGGGCAGGCAATCTGCGTCAGCGATTTTATCAGCCTGCTGTGGCAACCATGAGTGGTGCAGAGAAAGCCAGGCGTCAGCAGCCCCTGGTAGAGGGCCTCGGTGCTCATCAGCCTGGCAGCTCAGGCATAGAGCAAATGGCTCCAGGAGAAAATGGAGCTGTAGCAAGGGGGCCTACAGGAAGTTGCTGTGTGACAGTGAGCTGCAAAGCCAAGTGTAGAGCACAGCCACACCAGTACAGTAAAGAAAACCCACTACAGAGTCCCTAGACACCAGCTGTGTCACAGAGCCATTTCTAGGACCTGGTTCCATCCCCTAGTACCCCATGGACCCTGAGATTACAAGGAGCCTGGTACCATGCTGGCATAAACCATGGGGAATCATGGAATGTGTCTTAGAGCTGGAGAGAACTTCAGTGACCACCTAGACCAGTTTTTTCAGCTGTGTGGAGATAACAGGGGCAGGGAGTTGGGGGAAGTCTAAGCAGGCAGTTATGACATTCAGACCTGTCAGCCCTGGTTTCAAACAGTCCACTGTAATCTCTTTATATATATAATGCTTCTGTGTAAGTTGTTTGACAACTGCAAAGAAAAAAAAAGAGTTTAAAAACCATTGAACTGCTCCAAGTCCTCAACTTAGAGGTGAGGAGACTGAAGCCCAGCATGTTGTTAGTCGCAGTTGAATCAATTCTGACGCCTGGCCACCCCATGTTTTACACAGTAGTACTGCTCCATAGGGTTTCTTGGCTGTGATCTTTACGAAAGCAGATGGCCAGGCCTTTCTTCTGTAGTACCACTGGGTGGGTTCAAACCATCAATCTTCCCCCCCCCCCAATTTGTTTATTGTGATTTGGGTGCAAATTTACAAAGCAGATTTGTTTTACTTTCAACAGTTCATGCACATTTGATTTCATGGCTCCAATTACAATCCCCAACAATAAAAAGCTCTCCTCCCTGTGACTGCCCTTTCCCTGTAGCCTTCTTATCTGTGCATTCCTGTCTGTCCAGTTTTCCCTCTATGAGAATACCGCCCCTCTGATGTCTCATGGATGATTGATCTAAGGGGTGCATCACCCTGGGTTAGATGTTTTGCATGTAGGTCTTTCTACTGTTGGGCTGAGAGCCTATTCATAGAATTGAGTCCATTTCCAGGCCTGAAAGATAACCTGGGACCATAGTCTTAGGGGTTCCACCAGTCTCTAGTCTGGCCAGTAATTCTGGTCATTTTTGTGTTATTGAATTTTGTTCCACATTTTTCCTCCCACTCTATCAGAATCTCTAATTTTGATCCCTTTCTGAGTGGTTGACATTGGCACCAGGCAACATCTAGTTCTTCTGGTCTCAGGATTGTGAAGGCTGAGGTCTTCATGGTCCATCATATCTTTGGACTAATTGTTTCCAAATGAATTTGATTTTCTTCGCTCTTCTTTACTCCAGATGAGAGGAGACCAATAGTTGCATCTTAGATGGCCTCCTGAAAGCCTTTAAGACCCCAGTTGCTACTCACCAAAGTAAGATGCAGAACAAGATTTTTATGTATTATGTTGTGCCAATTGAGTATGGGCCCAGACACACCGGCTCAGTGATTCTCTTCCTCAAGGTATTTGGTTATCTCTGAGAAGCTATTCCAACCTTGTCTTCTGTTACTTCTGTAATGTATGTGGATAATTTTGTAGCACAAATACATAAGTAAGACTATCTTCAGCCAAATCTATCCTTGTTCTTGGATATATTCCTGTTTGCCTGCCCTCACCTGATCTTCTCATCTGTCTATGCATTAACCCATAGCCTGCCACTAGCAACGCAATATTGTGTATGTAATAGTTTTTGCCTCTGGGTCTATATCTTTTGTGCATATTTCTGTATTTTCTCTTTCCCCATTATCACTGTGCTGGTTACATATTCTTGCCATACCACCCCTCCCCTCACCCAAATCAATATAAGACCCCCAACTAGTCAGAAATTTTCTCTTTTCTTCCCTCCCATCCCTGGTAACCAACAAAGTGTATTTCCTTCCCTGAGTAAACCTTCCCTTGACTTTTTACAATAATGGACTCATACAATATGTATCCTTCTGTGATTAACTTATTTCACTCAGCATAATGTCCTCCAAATTAATCCATGTTGTGAGATGATTTGTGCATTCTTCGTTATTTTTTAATGTTGCATAATATTCCATTGTGTGAATGTATCGTAGTTTGGTTATCCATTCATCTGTTGATGGGCACTTAGGTTGTTTCCATCTCTTTGCTATAGTGAATTGTGTTGCGATGAACATGGGTGTACATATGTCTATTCATGTCCTGGCTCTCACCTCTTTAAGATATATTCCTAGTAATGGAATTGCTTGATCAAATGGTATTTCTATTTTCAATTTGTTATGGAAACGCCATACTGTTTTCCACAGTGGCTGTTCAGTTTTTTAGTCCCACCAGCAGTGTATGAGAGTTCCAAGCTCTCCATACCCTCACCAGCATTTGTTATTTTTGTCTTGTTGAACTTTTGCTATTATTGCTGGGGTGAGATGATATCTCATTGTTGTTTTGATTTGCATCTCTCTCTAATGGCTAATGATCTCAAGCATTTCCTCATGTGTTTGTTGGCTGCCTGTGTATCTTCTTTAGTGAAGTGTCTGTTCATGTCCTTTGCCCCTTTTTGAATTGGATTGCTTGTCTTTTCATTATTGAGGTGTTGGAGTTTTCTATAAATTCTAGAGATAAGTCCCTCGTCAGATATGTCATTACCAAATAATTTTTCCCAATCTGTAGGTTCTCTTTTTCCCCTTTTGGAGAAGTCTTTCAATGCACATAAAAATTTAATTTTTAAAGGCACCAGTCATCTAGAAGAAAACCAAAGATTCATAGAAAGAATTAGTCCTAGTGACTGGTACCCCATGTGATCTGCAGCCTGTAAGACAATGAGATCAGAACTAGATGGTTCCCAGCTACCATAGTCAACCACTCAGAGGGGGATCTATGTTGGCGATCCTGGATAGAGAGGGAGAAAAATGTGGAACAAAACTCAAAATCATTTGGAAAAAAGGGAGACCAAGCTTGCTGGTCTGATAGAGCCTGGTGGAACCACTGAGACTATGGCCCCTAGCTGCCCTTCAGGTCTGGAATTGAACCCACACCTGTGGCTT